CGACATGGGGGTAGTGAGAGAGAGTCCGCATGACATGGTCACGGAATACGAGTAGAATCGAGTTACAATGTAATATACACACAGGGCCTTTCACTGTATGCTGCTTTGCTTCGTGTCTTTTCATCGGTTCTATGCCCTTTCTAAGTTGCCCTCCTTCTCCAGTTCGTGTTTCTGTTGCTACGGGTCCAGAAGCCGCAGCTGATCGCCCCAAGCTGGCGCGACTCAACACGAGTTCTTGTCTCGCGCATGTGCCTACAGATGGAGCTTTCAGCTTTTTGGGAAGTGCAGGATCAAGGATATTGAACGTAATACTTATAGTATAAGATACCCCAAAACCCTGTTCTACTTATTGCGCACCCTATAGTACTGATGAAGATGAGGAAGACTTGAAGAACAAATCCTTACCAACGAGTTCTTTCCCTGAAGCCAGGAGCCTCCGATGCAACGAGCTGAAAGCGAGATGCAGATAGGCCTTTTTGCGGGGTTGAGGGGTTCAAGTTTAGGAGTTAAGCCTTCAGAACTCAGTTTTCGGGTTGAGGGGTTTAAGTTTAGGAGTTCAGCTTGTAGAACTCACTGTTTTTGCATTTTATGTTTGGAGGTTGGCTCGCTTGCAGTTGTGCAAGCTTTCATGCCTTTGGTGAACCGATGACGAGCTGTGCATCTTAGGGGAGAGCCTTGCGGCAGGTAGGATTGCAGCTTTGGCTGTGAGGGTTGCAAGTAAGTTAGTCACTCGTCTGAATTATTGTCACCAGTCTACCGACTTGATTGGTCAACGGTTGTCTCCGTGAACCTCAAAGCCACCCAAAAGTATGCTACTTGCTGTCTAAACATGCAATATTGTATATAGCCTTTATCTGATGAATGGATCGGTTTAAATAGGTATACCGATAGATAGATAGCTAGTATAGCTTGTTAGAAGATCAGTACCTAACCGGGCTTAAAGCGCAAATGTCGACCACGGTGGCCTGCACTGTGGAAGGTCAACCCATGGGCACTGCGCGCTGCCGGCTCAGAGGGCAGGTTTTGGGGGTACTCTGGGGGCCTAAATACTTACCTTTTTTATGGTATTTTAAGGGTTCCTATTATTATAGATGCGGTATAATGGGCCCCAAAACCCTATTTTAATTGTTACGGCCCTACAGTAATGGTGTTAGAGCTTGGGTTTTGGGTGTGGGGCTTTACGGTTTGCGGCTTGTGGGTAGGAGTTTTAGGGTTCACATTTGGGGCTTAGAGTTTGGGGTTGAGTGTTTTCGTGTTCAACACAATCTTAAAGTCACCAAAGCGGCCTTTTACCCTGAATCCCTAAACTCTTGCTAAGCCTCCCAGCCTCTGGCCTGCCTTAAACACATCAAAACCTAAGACCTTCAGCCACTGAGCCCTTCCGACCCCAGGGTTGGGGCTCTGAACCCTCAATGCCAGTGCTACTCTGCTCTCAAGAGTCACGATTTGCGGTGGCGGTCGGGCGGTGTAGTCTCCCCAGGTACTTTATCTAGACTTTGCACACCGAGCCTCGACTCTGAGGGACAAGTTCTGGACGATCCAGCCAGCAGCTTGCCTCGGAGCGCCGCCCCAGACAGGGTGTTTCAGCCTTGCAGTGTCGAGCTTCGAGTGGAGGTTTAGGGTTTAGGGCTCAGGGTTTAGGGTTTAGGGAGTGTAGACTGGCTTAAAGGGCTGATGTAGCAATGTAGGGCAACGGCAATGGTTTGAAGTTGAACTTGTTGAACGGTGGGCGAGTCCTCAACGGCAGGCGACGTAACATAGTACCATATAGGCCATATAGTATGCGATGTGCGATATACATGATATAGTAAACTGTTTGCAATGTACAGTGTTTATATATATATATATATATATATATATATATTACATAGAACACAGAAAATGTAGTAAGCAAGATGGTTCATGCAATATGAAATACATGATGCATAGTAATATGTATGGTACAGTATAGTACAATATAGTGTTGTACAGTACACTATAGTATGGTGTAGTGCAGTATAGTATAGTAAAGTATATTTCAGTACACTATAGTATATGATTAGTATGCAGTATATCGTATATAGTATATGGTATATAGTAACATCAATAAAGTATTTAGTCTCACATGCATGCGTATGTAACCGTATGTATCTAGGTACATATATATATATATATATATATGTATAATAATGTCTTGCAACCAGGAGTCACGCGGCTCGGTGGTGCGGCCCTATGCCAGTGACCTTGCGATTCTCGGAGAGGGTTCCAGGTTGCCAGATAGTTTTCAGCTGTTCGCGTTTGTAAAGTGTGAGGAGTTTTGACTGTAGGAGCATAAAGGAACATGATAAGTAGTTGTTAGTATAAGCCGTGTTCCATCAGAGCCCCTGCAAAGGCCCCTTTTGAGCCTCTTATGTCTGATTCGGTATGTCTCTTGCCAAGCGTGGCTCAGCTCGGGAGGTTGGGGAAGGAACGGTCTGCAGGCTGAGGATTCTCGGACAGAGCTTCGAGGGTTTCGGGCTTAGGGTTTGGAATTCCGCATTGGGGACTTTAGACTTCCTTGCTTAGGGTCTGGGGCTTCGTTATGGTTTGTGATTTTTTCGGATTATGGGGGTTGGTTGGGTCTTCAGGCCTCATCCCGGGCCATGACGGATCATGAGGGCTTTTGGATCAGAACTGTATGGAACTGGAAGCGCTAGGCCACTGAACCCCCAAACCCCGAACCCACACCCCCAAAGCCCCAAGCATTAACAAAAATCCTAAGATCCTAAACCCTCGACCCTGAACCCCAATTTTGTCCTTGCAGGTATGCCTCTGACTCAGAGCTCTCGGAAGTCCACTTCGCAGCAACTCCACCCGAGTAAGCTGAAATGGCCCAGTGGAGGCCGGGTTGTGGTCGGGGGTGGGGTTTCGAGCTTAGGGCTCTATAATATGTATATCATAGTTTGCTATAGTATACTATCGTTTGTTATAGCATATGCTGTGGTATGTTATAGTACATGATAGTCTACTATAGTATGTCATAGAGTCTGATTCTAGGGTTTCGGATTTAGGGTTTAGGGTTCCGGTAGGATTCTGAGTCTGGTTCTGGGTTCAGACTTCCAGGGCTGCCGGTCGCAGGTGCTAAGCGCAGCCTACTAATATAGGGTTTAGGGTTTAGGGGCCGCAACAACTATTTTGGGGGTTCACCACGAGAGAATTCTAGTATAATGGGCCCCCAAACTCTATTCAAGTCATTGAGGCCCCTACATAGTAGCAAACTGCCACAGGCAGGCCCCACGTTGATAGACTTTGCAAGCCACCAGTAAAAGAACCACTGTCTGGTTCGCGCAGGTGTACGGTGACGTCTTTGCCTTGCTGCACTCCGCTCGAGCAAGCGAAAGCGCTTTCAGTCAGAGGGGTTCATAGTTTGAGCCGTTTGGAACTAGCATTGGCTCAGTTTGGGTGCCTGCTGGTTTTGTATTTTATTTTTGTTGGTTGACAGGCTTTGCAGTGTTTGTTTTAGTTGGCGAGCCCTTCGGGCCGGATTTGAGGCTCTTTCCAAAGTTCGCGTGCAATAATTCTGCTGTCACAAGGGTTGCTGCCGTTGTTCTGATTCGTCTTGTTGATGCTGCTATCCTGACCTCTATCTTTCGTGCTGGGGTGCTCCTGTTGTTGCAGCTGTTGGTGATGATGGTGATGGGCCGTGGTCGTGGCGGTCCGGTGGCACTGGCAGCGCTGCTGGTCTTAGCTATTCGTGATGTAAGTGACTGTGACGATGATGTTCATGACATTTCATGATGCTGATGATGATGGCTGGTGACGTTTCGAGAGTGATTGTGACGTTTCGGAACAGTGTTGCGGGTGTGAGGAAAGACTTGAAGGTTAATGCAGGCCTGCTGACTGCGAAAGCGTAGAAATACCAGTTTCACGCTATGGCTTGTTTCTGAGCGAGCTTGGTGCACAAATGAAGACTCTGGCTGCACAGCGAGGCTGACCACAACGATGGTCCATGCATCGATGAAAGTAAGTGCAAGACTAGGAATGGAAAGGGTAAGCAGACAGATAGCGCCGCGGCCGCGAGCAACCAATGCCTCCATGATGACAAGTGTGCTGTCGTCGCCGAGGTCATCACGACCATGGAAGGTGCTGTAGCAGCTAGAAAGCCCTCAATCGTATCAAGCTGAGCTCTAGGTGCCTAGCAGCCGAGCACAATTGCCACTGGGGACCCCTAGTGCCAAAGCCTGTAAGGCCCAAACCCTGTAAAGGGAACTCCAGAAAGTTGGAATATGGATTAATGGTAGGATCCCCTATAATTTGCCTTAAAGGGATTACGATAGTGATATTCCAACTTTCTGGCTTCTACTGTAAGTTCAACATCTTGAATCCCAGTCCCTACACTGTCGGAGTTGGCAGTAGGTCAGCCTCGACCATACGGAGTGCAGCTGCTCATGCTAACGCTGAATCGGCGCAATGGAAAATGTTTTCAGCAGAAACTTGTGCATCCATAGACGAACAACCTGCAATGTTAAGACGCTAAACCCTAAACCCTGTTCGCTCCTTTCCAGTTGTTGATTGCGATGTTGTCCTCTCGACGCTCGAAGTCTCCCCAGAACCTGTTGAGGTGCAGTTTCATGAAGTGGAGAGGTGACTGTCAGTCTAAGCAAGCCTCAAGTCCAAGTCAATTCCGACATCAAGGAGTTCCTCCGACCCCAGATTTGCAAAATCTTCCGGAAGCCTGCAAGCATCCGCAAACTTATTCAGCCACAACTGCCCGGGCTACTCTCGGTCTTTTGGATTGCGTGCGTTGTCGCGCCCTTGTGCCACAGACGTTGAGAGGCAATGCGATTTGCGAGGTATCAGCACCCCCACAGTCAAGTCAGACAGCAGACAGCAGCACTGTTTATGTACATTGCTGCAGCCAGGAGACCAGCTGTGCTTGACCAGTAATTAGTGTGTCCAATGAGTTTGGTATTGTACACGGCTCAACCCGTCTTCAGATCCTGAAGAGGTCGCATCACGGGGCTTAGATCTGCTCCGGGCAGGCTTTTGCACATTGAACGCCGCCGCAGATCTGAAGCGCTGGGAGGCTTGACATTCGAAGCGCTTTGCTCTCGCACAGAGGTGCAGACAGCCTCTGAGGTTAAGCAGGTCTTACGGTCCTACAGTTTGTGCTCGAGAGACGACCCGAACCGCCTGCTGAAAACACGGATAGCACCGACTATCCAACAAAGATGTTTGACGAAACTACGCCAGAAGCCTATGATTTGAAGAAGAAGCGTTCTCATCAATCGTGCGGTGGGCGACATCGGTGAAATAAGCCTCTCACACATCTGCATCCACTCCAAGTGGATCGAGTATTTGAGCCCTGAAGCATCAGAGTGATCAGCTGCTCGCAATGTATCAGAATGTTAAGTTGTCAACATACAGCTAGTGCAGCTTCAGCCCAATACATAACCTGGTGGTGCAGTGCAACAGTCTTGTACATTACAAGAAACATAGGTGTATGCTTCGCGCACACGCGACCAATAAAACTCCGTCATCAATCATTGCTGTTGACTTCCTTTGCCGTTCCCGTTGGTTTTGGTGTCAGAAGAGCCTAACCGCAGTAAACCCTAAACCCCTAAACCCCGAAACCCCTAAACCCCCAAACCCTAGACCTCTAATTCGAAAGACACGTCAGCACATGTTAAAAAAACCTCTAAACCCCAAGACCTCAAATCGAAAACCGAATCGTGCCCACCTGCAGGCCAGTGAGGAACTGCGAAGAGTTCTTTCACCTTTGAAAGCGCTTCTGGTCAGTGGCGATGCCGACGAGGCAGAGTTCTGGCTTTGGGAATCACGGTTTAGGGTTTTAGGGTTTAGGGTTTTAGGGTCTAGGGTTTTAGGGTTTTAGGGTTTTAGGGTTTAGGGGAGTTTAAGGAGTTTAGGGTTAAGGGTTTTGGGTTTAAGGTTTGGGTTTTAGGTTTGTGGGAGACCACCATTGGCCAAATATCATGCTGCTTCTGTGATTGTTTAATTTCTTGGGACTTGCTGTTTTGCAACTGGAGCTTGGACACTGTCGTCCTTCAAGACGTAGGTGTATCTTTTGGATCGACCTGTGCGAACCAGCTTTCGCAAAATGGGGCGGTGAAGACTCACTGTTTGACAAGACGTGCAAGCCCACGGTTTCGTACAATTTGGGTTCATCCTGCAGCCGTAGACTCGTAGACCGTTTCATGCAAGTGTGTTTGTTGCCAAGCTTCCAAAAGCTTCTGCACATGCACAACAATTTATGTGTATATATAAATATCATCATATGCATATATATATAGCCATATATATATATACACATGTTTATAGATACATATAAATACATATGTGTGTGTGTTTCAACACCAACCTGGCCTGCGAATGCTGGGCGGCTTGGCGATTCGGATGTCTCTGAAATCGCTTGCGATGGTATAGCTTGCTCGAATGTTCGACCTGTAAATTTGCGGTGATTCCGCGTTCCTGAACACGACCTAAACCCGAAACCCCTAAACCCTAAAATCCTAAACCCTAAAACCCCAAAGCCCTAAAACGCTAAAACCCTAAAACTTAAAGCCCTAAAAACCCGAAAATTTAAACCCTAAAGCCCTAAACCCCTAAAGCCTAAACCCTAAAGTCAAAAAAGAAAAAACCTAAAGCCCTAAAGCCTAAGCCCCAAGTCAGGTGGTGCCTCCCGTTTGCACACGCGAGCTGCACGAGGTCGGGCTCCCTGCCCTGAACTTTACCCGAAGTGGATCTACATTAGGGGTGCCCTACTTTGGGGTCCCTATAAGGGCTCTCTAAATGGATCTATAAGGGTTCTATAAAGGGTTCAGGGTTTTCGGGTTTCCGAAAACTAGGGGTGCCCGATTTTGGGGTTCTTATAATGAGGATGCTGCTATTTAGGGTATTATTAGGGTCCGAAGGAACTCTCACAGCTTCAGCATCGCTTGTTCTTGACAAATTTCGTCACTGCAGGTCAACGGAACCGGTAGGATCTGATGTGCCATGATCTATACACTTCGCATGTTCTAGCTGCTCATCGAGAGGTCGGGCAAGGGTGCTGTGAGTGCTGTGCCTCAGGAACTAAGATGAAGTCGCACCCGGCCAGAAAATAGATGAACCCTGGAGGCTCTGCACTGCGCAAACAAACGCCACCTGGACTTGCCCGGTGGCACTCATGATTTGTTCCAGTACAAGGACGGACGGCTTGGTCAGGATTTATGGCGCAAGGCTTAGGCGCCCGCCCTTGGGCAGGCAATTATCCTGCAGAGTCGTGCCTGAACTGTCTTCCAAGTCCCAAACTCTACCGGTGCAGACATGTCCGACTGAGCAGGACTTCCTTGTCGACACAGTGTCCCAGTTTATCATCGAATGCTCTCCGGTTCCGACCTCGAACACTTGTGATGATCTGCTTTAGCTATCTCCCCAACAGCAACGAAACCGGAAATACTACTATGACAATTGGACAGACAGTATCTTGACAATGACAGCCAGCAGCAGTACCAACAAGGACAAAGACATGTGCAGTCGGGGCCAGACCAGAAGTCATGGCAAAAGCACGAAGCACTTCGAGGAACGACACTAATACTCGCACCATTCAGCCTAAACCCTGCAGTAAACTGGCGAATGTAGCCATTGAGTGCTGTTGATTCAGTTTGAGTCCTCGAATTCGGCTGGTTTATCAGACCGTCGTCCTAGTAGTAGTAGTAGTAGTAGTAGTAGTAGTAGTAGTAGTAGCAGTAGTAGTAGTAGTAGTAGTAGTAGTAGAAGTAGTAGTAGTAGTAGTAGTAGTAGCAGCAGCAGGAGTAGTAGTAGTAGTAGTAGTAGTAGTAGTAGTAGTAGTAGTAGTAGTAGTAGTAGTAGTAGTAGTAGTAAGAAGTAGTAGTAGTAGTAGCAGCAGTAGTAGTAGTAGTAGTAGGCAAGTAGTAGTAGTAGTAGTAGTAGTAGTAGTAGTAGTAGTAGTAGTAGTAGTAGTAGTAGTAGTAGCAGTAGTAGTAGTAGTAGTAGTAGTATCCAGTTGTGGTGTTGCTGCAGGCATGGTCGCAGTGCTGTAAATGTTGTCGGCATTGTATTCGAAAAATTTACAAGCAGCGCTGACACGAAGCGAAAGTCCCAGCCAAGTGGACAACGTGATTAGCAATAACAAGAAAGACGCCTATCACCTGGCATATCTATCCTTCTTGAAACACGTTTTTCTTCTAGTATTGGTCCTAGTAGAGGCATGGACTCGGCATGGACTCGCCGCTTGTACTACGTGCATCGACCAATAATTACTCCAAATAACCTTTCTTTTCTGTCTTGAACGAGATTGAAGCCTATGTTCAAGGCTTAACGATTAAGACCTATTGGGAAAAGTTCACGGCTTTTGGGGTTGCCTTCGGTTAGCGCAACGCATCCCAGATGAGGCATGACTGCGGACGACTGTGAGGATCATGCTCCTCCGGTGAGTCGGACTGCGGGGTGTCTTCGGTTCAAGTGTGCCTGAATCATAGGGATCCGTAGGGCGCCTTAATGTCCATAACAAGGGCTTGTTTTTTTGGAAGTATAGTCCCCTACCACCCTCCCCCCTACCCCCGCAAGGGTCCCTACGAAAAGCTAGGTTTCAGCCCTGCCGGATGTTGCAGGGGAATTTCCGAAAGATTGGGAGCCCTCAACTTGCTCGGCCTTCTATCGTAGCATCAGATTCAGGATACCCTAGTTTGGCTCTCTAAGATGCTGCTACCACCACCACCACCACCCTGAAGGAGGGGTTTCATGATCATTTCACGATTCTACTACATGGTGTCGGGGTCGTTTATAGCTGTTCTAACCTCGGATGCTAGTACTGGGGCAGACAGGGAGGGAAAGAGACGTAGACAGCAAGAAAGGGGGGCAGACCTGTTCTCGCATTTCCACATCACCCCAAAAGCAGAAGTATAGCACTTGCCCTGTGTACATGTCACCGTACAGAATCACCATCGTCGTCAGCTGTCGCTGTTTGGGTTTATGGGTCCAGGGATTGTGAGTTAAAGCCGAAATCGCATTGCCGGCTAACTGTTTAGGGTGAGGGTTTGGATTCAGGGCTTTTGTGGTTTTCGGCATTAGTTTTGTGTTTATAGTTCTAACTCAAAATTACCGGAGGAGACATGAATTTTCTCTCACGAGCTTGGATTTGGTGCTCGAAAATCAACTCGCCGCGGGCGAGCAGTTATCCTTGATTTGCGGGCCTCCACACGAGAAGCGCCGTGCGCAGGACATTTTGGAAGCAGTATTGCCAGGGAAGGGGAGATGCTTTGTAGCCTTGTCCTCGCGAGCTTGGAGAGCGGAAGCCACCCGAATATGAGATATTTAGGCAGGTGCTGGGAGATCGGCACCCATGTCGGTGCTGGCACTGCCTGAGATGACTTAGCACTACATAATTCCAATTCAGCCAAGTGTATGCTTGAACCGACCATCCCAAACTTGTATTGCACTGCGACCGAAAACCTGCAAAAACACCTCCCCGCCTCAGCATAAACAAGTTACCGGGGTACAAATGCTACAAGGGAGCCATCAAAGGAACTCTAGGACACCAAAGCTGTCGCTCGAGGATGTAGCTCGCATCCTTAATCTCGGATTAGTCCCAACCGCAAACCCTGAGTACTCGTGTCTCGGCCCCTGGGGGACGAAGCCAATGTCTTGCCGGATTCCAAGAAAGTTTGGTTGATTTTCAGGCTTTGTGAGTGTTCCACCCGGTGACGATGAGAGTTAAACGCCGATGGCAACATAAATTGAGTTCGCAGTCCATTAAACCTTAAGCCTTAACCCTCAACAAGCAAAATTTCACCCTAAACCACAAGCACATGGCACTCTTCTTTCAACCCGTTCAGAGCTTCTCGACGGGAATGGCCCTGGTCTTGGATGACCACAGTGTTCTTCGTGCCAGCTCCTCCTGGGCGAGGTGCTTCTTTGCGAGACATCCAACATGTCCTGACGTCCCTAGAGTCGAGTTAGGGCCGCGAAGAGGCATGTAGGGTCCGAGAGGTCAAAGTCGAGGTGTCGACATGGTTTATGGAGTTCTGCCCAATGCCCCCTCTTGGTGAGAAGAACTGCGCAAACTGCCCATCCACTGCTCAGAAGAGGCGAGTATGGGCGTTCTCGACAGTCAGGATGCTCGCAACAGTGATCTAGTGTGGCTTATATTGCCGTCACGAAGCAGGAAATCCATCTAAATCTGGAGCCGCCGGGGTCGCAACAGCGAGATCTTGCCAAGAAGCCTTTGTTAATAAGTGCAAGATGGATGATGCGTATCATTCTCTCAAATAAACTTGCTGCACTCGTAAAAAGATTAATGGGACAGCCACTGTTGTCCGTAGCCGCCCCAGTGCGTGTTGAGGCTGGCTTGTTTGCTGCCTTAGCGACATCATGGTCAAAAAAGGATCGATGCACCATTAACGACGAACCAATGTAGCCTCAAGCTAAGTCTTGATGGCAAGCACCCTTGTGAGCCAAATCTTGATGGCAAGCACCCTTGTCTTTAAGAGATCTGAGTGCAGAAACGAGGTCACATATCAAGAGGGCATGCAATCGTGATGTTTAGTGCCGCTTGTAACCTCTGAGGTGTCAAAGTAGGTAGATACATTGGAGCACCTTGACGAGTACTCAAACCAATATGCATAAGGTGTAAAGCAAGAAGTACAGCGCACCATCGACATCACTGCTCCTCTTCCTGCTACAGCTACTGCGACCCACAAGCACTACTACTGCAACAACTACGACCACCACCAGGATCATAACGACGATGGGAGGACGACCGCCACTACTGCTGCCGACGACGACGAGGACGACGAGGACGACGACGACTACGACGACGACTACTACTACTACCACTACTACCACTACTACCACTACTACCACTACTACCACTACTACCACTACTACTACTACTACTACTACTACTACTACTACTACTACGACGACTACTACTACTACTAGCCACCCCCCACGAAAGTACCGTAAATACCGAGTTAAACGGCTCTTGTGGTGATACTGCTGGGTGTGTTCGCGCAACACTGTCGTCATCATCCCCCCCACCCCGCCCCACCCACCCCCAGAAGCAAGTCCAAAATGAAGAGCCCGAGTTTGCAAACTCGACAAGTCGATTTTGAGGCCTCTTAGGATGATCGCACATGACGAAAGTGCCGTAATTACCGAGTAAAATGGATGTTGTCTTAACGTGGTTAAGAACAAGCGTAGTTGGTAGGGGGGTGCCTACTACTGCTACTACTACTACTACTACTACTACTACTACTACTACTACTACTACTACTGCTACTGCTACTGCTACTGCTACTGCGACTGCTACTACCACCACCACTACGACTACGACTACGACGACGACTACTACTGCTACAACTACAATTACTACTACTACTACTACTACTACTACTACTACTACTACTGCTGCCACTACTACTACTACTACTACTACTACTGCTACTACTACTACTACTACTACGACTACTACGACTACTACTACTACGACTACTACTACTACTACTACTACTACTACTACTACTACTACTGCTGCTACCACTACGACCACCACTACGACGACGACTGTTACTCCTACTACTACTACTACTACTACTACTACTACTATTACTACTACTACTACTACTACTACTACTACTACTACTACTACTACTACTATTACTACTACTACTACTACTACTACTACTACTACTACTACTACTACTACTACTACTACTACTACTACTACTACTACTACTACTACTACTACTACTACTACTACTACTACTACTACTACTACTACTACTACTACTACTACTACTACTACTACTACTACTACTACTACTACTACTACTACTACTACTACTACTTCTTCTACTTCTACTTCTACTTCTACTACTACTACTACTACTGCTACTACTGCTACCTCTACTACTTCTAGTACCACGAATCAGCAGACTTCGGAGCTACAAACACAGTTGGAATCACCCCGTCGGTTCCAGCCGTTTTTGCAGCGACGCATCCAGAGTGCAAGACGAGTCTCATCACTCGGAGACTTTTCAATTGAATGCTGAGCGTTGCTGCGAGTGTTCTTGTTGACAGGACTGCCGCCACAGCGAGTCCTGCTGCATCAAGCCAGACACATGAGAGTTTCGAAATGGCGTTTGTATCACAAAGCAAACGTGCTTGCATGTATGCTTACACTTGTACGCAAATTCATTCACTCGCCCGGATCATATGGACTTGTCATTGTGGCCTAAGAACACGGAACGTTGAACTAAGACCCGTAAGCCCTCGAAAGCCTAAGACTTAGACCCTTCAGTAAGGTATGAGACGGGAAAGACCTCTGACCGATCCGCTCACTTAGACCTTGGGCTTTGAGCTTCGGGCTTCATGATTCGTAGGTGTGCGGGCCTAAGTGGGTTTTCTTAGTGAGTTTTCAGACCTGTAAATTAAGCCTTCGAGTTAGGGCATGTTAGGGCTTGGGTTGAGGGATCACTCTTTCCGACGCCTAAGGTTTCAACTCCTCTTGTGTGTCGGGGAGGATGCTCCAATCCGCTGTGAAGGAACCGTACAGAGCTGATATTCGAAGCCGAGGCTTCGACTACGTCTAAGTCTTTTGCTTTGTTAGAAAAAGATCCGGCGCAAAGTTTTACAACCCTAAGCCTTAGACCGTTTAGGAAGTGAAGTGCTTGAGCGCTGCGGGGGTTTGGACTGAACTGGCCTCATGTTGGTCTGTTGTGTTGACTGAGTCTTGATAGTACCACCCGTGCGAGTATGTTTAAGTATATATATGTATATATATATATATATATATATATGTATCTATGTATATACTGATTAAGTATGTATGCACGTAGATCGTTAGATAGGTAGATGGGTATATGCACACTTATGCCATGTCGTACATGAGCATCTACAACTGATGAAGTATGTGTGTGCGTGTACATATATACATATATATATATATATATATGTATGTATGTATGTATGTATGTATGCTTGTATATTTGTATATGTACATGTATATGTATATGTATATATATATATATACATACATATACATGTACATATACATATATGTATATGTGTGGTTACCACCTTATTGTAGACTGCCGTTCTGATCTGAGACCGGCCCTCGTGGGCTGTGTGAAGTTGGCCTGCGAAGACTTTGTGGTGGACCTGGGTGTTGTCAAAATTAGGGCCCTTGGATCCTTATTATACTACGGCACCTTCTTTTTAGGGTACCCAAAAAGGGACCATAGTCTTGACAACTACCCAGCTGGGATGCAAAGCCGAAGTTCGGAGGTTCGGTACTGTACGGGCCTAAATAATCAAATATACTATTTTGGGGGTTCCCCAAAATCAATCTAGTATAATATAATGGGCGCTCAGACCCTATTCTAATTATTAAGGCCCCTATGTTAAAGCTCTGTCCGTTTCTAACCGTTTCTACATCCAAAAGACGTGCGACAATGCGAACAGTGCTTTGTGTGCAGGAAGGACTCACCAGCCGGACGTTTCTGAAACATGCAGTCGGTAAGACTCCTGATTCGGTTCACTAGCACACCTGTCAGTCCGGTTCATATGATTCTTCCTGCCAGGTTCGTGTGTGGCGATGTGGACTCTACCGTTTCAGTCCATAAATCGGCCCCACGATCTGCAAGCCAATTTGCAGGCTCGCTGCTTTCGGGTGAAGCCTATGCCTACCGTAGGCCTTCCAACTCGAAGGATTGATCTTTCATCCAAGGCGTCCCGACGCGAACTATCGTTGAGAATCGACAACCAGGCTGTACACAGAGTACAAGCTTTGCTGTTCTGTTCTGACCTTCGTAGACTCGCCGACCCAGCGGTGTGTGCCGAGTTGGGTCTACTGAGACTGCCGGGGCGATCGTGGCTCAAGATACCCTGAACTCCCAAACCTGCCGGAAAAAACAAGATCCCGGGAAAGTGAGCCTTAAACCCAAACCCCTAAACCCTAAACCCTTAACCCGAACCCCTACTGTAAATCTATTGTGCCACGGGGCTCAAAGCCTGAATCCTGTGGCTTCCTGAGGAACACACGAAGCCCCAGAGTCACCAGAGATACTGAAGCCTGAAAAAGTAGGTAGTAGTACTCTTCCTTACGGCTCCTTATGAAAGTAATACTCTTCCTTACGGCTCCTTATGAAAGTAATACTATTCCTTAGGCTCCTTATGAAAGTAATACTATTCCTTAGGCTCCTTATGAAAGCAATACTGTTCCTTAGGCTCCTTATGAAAACGATACTGAAAAAAAGAACTCCCCCAAAACCTTGTTCCAGAAGTCCCTGTACAACCCTTGTAGGGGTGGTTGTTCAACTCGCAACTTGTGGCCGAAAGTAGGGGTTTAGGGTTTTAGGGGCCGAAATATGAGGATGGTACAATATGTCCCCAAAGCCTGAGCGAAGTATTCCTGTGCTGTGTCGCAGAGCTGATGCTGCGATGGTCAGGGCAGTGCGCGCAGCTGAGCCCGGCTGAGCGAAAAGGTTGCAGCAGCCGGCAGGTGCCCAAAAGGATGCTTCAAGTTCCAGGGCTAAAGGTACTATAGGGGCTTTAAGAATTGCCTATACTATTTTGGGGGCTCCGTATTATAACTATAGTATACTGGGCCCCACAACCATATTCCAAGTGTTAATGCCTTTATAGTCTGGAGTGTTGAGGAGCTTTGGGTGTAGGTTGTAAGTTAAGGGCCCAGGAGCGTAGAGACTGACGGCGCAACGGGAAAGCATCAGCGACGACACGCAATACGGAAGTTGTGGCGATGATCTTGATCTCGCAATCGACCGACACTAGCACTACTAGTGCTTATCATAAGGAGAAGTACGGATCACACCATGCAGTAGGAAATCATGGTACTGGCGATGATGGCAGGAGCGATAAGAATATGTGCTACACGAGCCGTGCGAGCAGCAATCATACTGTGCGTGTTGCAGATATCAGATATCCATAGACTTCTTGTCTATGAGTCGTGCGAGTAGTTCCGTCTGGTGATGCAAGCACCATAGTCTAGGTATCCATTGGAGTGCAACTTGCCAACCACCTCCAGGACTTGGGTCTCGCAAGAGCGAGCGTTGAAGAGCAGCAGATTTCAGCCATAAGCCCTACACCCGAAACCCTAAGCTGAGCCTGAGAGCCCAAAGCGTTTGCCGCCGCGTTTGGGAGTGGTTCAGCTTGGGAAGCTGTTAGCCATGGGATGCCATGGGGCAGGCCTGCTTTGAGAGCGTCCGCGTCGACAAGTGCTTAGTTGTTAGTGCTGCTTGTCCCGTTCTCGTTCTTCAAACGATCACAGGCATCATGTCGACGCCTGGTTGTTTGTGGTCTCCGTTGTTGATTTTCATCAGGTGCTGTGCAGACACGTCGGAAATTTGTCTAACGCAGAAGACAACTTAGCCATTGCACTCATCTGCGATCTTGTTGATATCCTGTCGTAACATGACTCTATGTTCAGACGGCAAGCGCATATCGGGGCCTCACTCAGCAGCAATCCTGCTCTTCAGGGCCGAGGATGTAACTTTTTTGAAAGCTTCGATCTCCAAAGCAAGTGACATCTTCATCAGTCCATGGTTTGCGATGATTGCGAGGTCTCCTACAAGCATGTCGCAACAGGGGTGGAAAAGTTGTAAAAAGATCACAGAAATCCAGGCCAAAATGATCCTATCGACAGCAGCAAACCTCCGAACAACTCTAAACTAACTGAAAACCAGACAAGCCAATTGTAGGAATGGGGGCGGAGGGGTAAATGGCTGGTATTCTCATGTCTCAAGGCCACCAAACCCCCGCAGAGACCAGGTTCAGACCCCTAAGCTCGAGGGGGAAACCAAGTTTCGCAAATCCTTAAACCTTTCTGGCCACAGGTGGTGAGCCCTTCCAACCAACCCCGATCACCCTATTAAATGTTAGGCCCCTGTATCCGCTAAAACTTCGAAGGTTAGCCCCCAAACCCTTAAGCCTCAATCATTAGTCCCCAATCACTCATACTAGATTTGCTTGACAAAGCTGAACCAAACCCTTAAGCCTTAATTAATCATGAAACCCCAGTCACTCATCTTAGATTTGCTTGACAAAGCGGAACCATGATCAATTTGAAATGTAACCCTAAACCCTGAACCCTGAACCCCCGCAACCCCAGACCCTAAACCCCGAAGCCAAGAGTGGCCCCGTGGCCAGGGCTGTGGATCCAAGGCCATCCTTCCGGGTGGGTACGAGGCACATGAGGGTACTAGGGGTGTAGGGTTTAGGATTTAGGAATTAGAGTTCAGCGGTTGGGGTTTAGGGCTTCGTGCAAGGGCGTGGCTGTGAAGGGCTTAGGAGTTTGGGCAGTTTAGGGTCGTTAGTTTTTTAGCGTATAGAGCACAAGAGTTTACACTTCGGGGCTTCGGGGTTGAGGGCCTAAGATGTAAGGCTTTCCTGCTACAGCTTTCTCGTAGAGGTTTAGGAGTCTAAGGTTTAACGGGAGCAGAAAGGTTTCTGCAGCATCCGGGCTTTTAGGAGGGCTCGGGTGGAGCGCTCCGGACTCCCCGCTTCAGATACTATTTTGGGGGTTTCTGATTATGGTTGTAGTATATTATAATGAGCCCGAAAACCCCGTTTTCCAGGCATTGCATTGTAAAGGCGTGAAAAGCTCATTGAGCACCGAACCCTTAACGATGTTCTGGTAGCATCGACTTCTGCGAAATACTTTCAGCACGTACCAAAAGCCGACCAGGTTGCGGGGAACGGTTTCCGGTTGACCTGCTTTGCGACTTATAGGGGTGCTGGTGAAGCCCTGCATGCGATCTGAACCCACAGACATGCACTTGAGTTCACGACTGGCCTCACAAGCCATCTTTCTATTACAGCACAATTAGATCCAAAGGTATCTATGAGAGCCCGAAACTTTGAGCCCAAAGTGGGCAGCACCGTCGCCAAAAGCAATGAGCGCGTGCTACAATCGACAGGAAGGTAACCTGGTGTACTACAGCGCGGCCAATCAGCTGGGATCCCAGACACAACTGAGGATCCTGCCTGCTGCTAGTTCAGCTAGGTCTGACATTACACCCTAAACGCCTAAACTCTAATTCCTAACCTCGGCTCGAGATGCCGAAACTGTCGCACGGATCGGCGGTTGGCATTCGCTCTTTTGCACTTGCGTAGACGGCAGAAATAAATGGTAATAGTATCGCCTTTATAGTCAGTGTACATTGATAGTATGCGATTACCGCCAAGACCATGTTAATTACCAAGGTCACTAGTATTACAGTATCACCTAAGACGCAAGCTCCCTGGATCTCCCTGGCCATGGGAGCCACGACTAGAAGCCCAGACGGTTTGAAGGGCCACGGGAGAGTTGTGATAAAGAAGCAGGGGCTCAGGGGGAGACTTGAAGGTGAGCAGACACCTCGAGAATAGGTTCAGACAGGGTTTAGGGAGCCCTAAACCCAGACCCTAAACCGTCGGGCTTCGAATTACATCCGAAACCCGAAACCTTTGAGCAGGTGTGTGAAATTCCGAATGAGACCACATCGTTGAAACCTTCAGCGCAAACTTCACCCCGGAACCTGACAGCTATGCGGCTATGCGTGTACCGTTGTGCGAAACTCTGTAGGTGGCTCTTAAATGCTCGTAGGATTGCTCCTGTCATATCAGAATGCAGAGAATGGAAACAATCGTTTTTCAAGCACATTGCTACATGTGTACCTGAGTAGGTAGGTTGCAAGTGCCTGATCTGCTCGCACCTCGCACCTACCGACTACTTACTACGTCCCATGATCCCTCATCTAGCTTGTTCAGCCTTCTTAATCTTTGTCCTTCTTGCGAAGCGATTTCAAGAGCGGCCTTCATGTTTTGGATCCATCATCTCCGACAAACCGGGGAAACCTAGGCATTTTCCAGCCGGCGAACTACGCTACGGCACACTGGGCAATGTCACAGGGCGCCTTTGCCAAGCACTGGGCACTTCTGGCTTAGGGTTGAGGGTTTACCTGGGGGCTATGTGCTCTGCCTGGTTGTCTCTCTAGACCTTACGTCTCGAACCCTGAAAACCCGAAACTGGGCAAGGCAAAAGCCGAAGCACCCTTAATACCCGAACCGAAACCCAAACTCTGGACCCTGGCATTTAGACAATGTTCAGGGCTGGGATCCGCTGTGCACCTCGTTGTTGAATGTCCGGCGGTGTTCTTGAAGGCAATTGACGGCGATAGTTAGGATGGATGGAAAGAAAGATGGAAAGATAGATAGATAGTTGGATAGAAAGATAGATGGATGATTGGATAGTTGGATAGTTGGTTGGATGGATACATGGATAGATGGATGTATGCATGTTTGGAGTCCTGAAGCCGGGAAGCCTCTTCTTGTCCTCTGCTATCCTCGAGGCCTTCGCAGGTTCAGGATGGCAAAGATGACGAGCGCGTGGTGGGCCGGGCTCTGTTTGGGCTTTGGGTTTGAGGGTTTAGTCGGTTTAGGGATAGGGGGTGTTGTTTAGGCTTTGGCTTTGAGTGAGTGTGTGTGTGTGTGTGGAACTTTGTAACGAAGAGTATCTTGTGAAGAATACAGGGGCACGGCGCCGCAGTTCGAGCCGTGCCAACGAAGCTAAGAACTGTGGTGGAAGCACTCAGGGACGCTTGAGTGCGTACCTGCCAAAAGTCGCTCATGGGTCACTTGTGTTGGAGCTTGGCGACTCGTTCGTGCTTGCAACATTCATGCACATGTCAGTGATGTTTGTGCTGGACTGTTTATGAAGCTTTGGTTTGCAGTTGCCTTGTACAGCACAAAGCAAGCAGAACACAGCTGATGAGCCTGAATGCCAGACAGGTAACGGAACCCCTGAAAGCTTCATGCTTTCATGATACATCAAGCAGTGCTTAATAACCAACAGATGAATGGCTGCATAAGTGTGTGTGTGTGTGTGTGCGTGTGATATAGAATTTCGGTGCTGATAGGACTGTTTCAGCTTGGTTTCTCGGGGTTTGAGAGATGGGGTGTTTGGTACTAAGGCTTTTATGGGGTCTTCAGTGTGTAGCTGAAGTGAAATTGGGGCGGGTCTGCAAGGCAGTGATAGCTTAGTTTACGACTTGCTGATGGTTTGTCATGGGTGTCTGATGGATTGGATTGAGGTGGCTGTGGCTTGGTTTGGTTTGATCCGCTCGCAGTGGTCGTGTGTGGCAATAGAGTGGCTGGGGATTTTTTCGGCTGGGGTTAGGCGGTTAGTTTGCGCGTCTGTAGGAGCGGGGCCTGTAGGGTCGATGCCTTAGCGGCCTGGACGTCGCTGCCAGGCTGTGAAGTTCCCAAACTTCCGCCAGCCAGTGGCATGCTTTGTTGCGGCGCCGGGGATCCCATCGGTTTAGGGCGTTGGGGTTCTAAGGCTTATAGGATTTATGGTGTAGGGTGTAGTGTTCAACCGGGCCCTAGAAACCCTGAACTGTTATGCTTCTTATCTCTGGGTTGGTTTAGGAAATTCTGTTCCTGCGTGGTTACACCCGGCATCCTCGGAGCCCTGCTCAAAAGATACGGCGGCAGGCCGAATACAGAAGTCAGAAAGCCTTTGCATGATATAGGGGACTAAATGACTACCACACGATTTTGAGGGCTCCTTATCATACGTGTAGTATAAGGGGCCCCAAAACTCTATTTTAATTCTTAAGGCACCTACATTAGTGAGCCGTGATATATCGGAGCAGAGACCATCTTGATCCCGCGAGGCTTCTGGACCATCAAAAGGGAACCCAGTGGCCTCGACTCTTTCTCTGTCCTTGTATCTGTCCCCGTCCCGGTCTCTCTCTCGTTCTTTTTCAACTCGCTTTCTCTGTCCGGCTCTCTCTCTCTCTCTCTCTCTCTCTCTCTCTCTCTCTCGTTCGTGTGGAACACTTGTATACACATATGTGTGCATATGTATATGTATCGACTATGTTTATGCATATGGCAATTAATGAGTTCATGTACGTAATTACATGCATATGCTTTCGGTAACCATATACACAACAAAAGGAGCTACATAGATGCATCTGTTCTTTTGCAGTCCGATCCTGATTTTGTCTTCGGTCGCTGTCGTGTCCAACGATGACCGAGATTGCAACCTGCAGAGTTTCATCGCCGGATTTAGAGCTCGAGCTTTTCAAAGATCCGAAAAGCCGCAGCACCAACACCAAGCCTCCAAAAGGCCTCAGATGCCTCAGGCGAAATACCCCCGAAAGTGAGACCCTCCTTCGTTTGTTTGCAATAACTGAGGCTGCAGACCAAGGCACCCCCGGCCATCTTGCCGGGAGGCGCTGCCAAAGTTCGAGGGCTCTAACTCTTTTCACTAAGCTGCACCGCGCCGTTAGACTCTCCAAATCCGGTACGACTACTTCTGATGTATACAGACTCCAGCTGGTACTGGCGGCTATGTATTGCTCGTACTCTTGCTGCTGCTGTTTGTACTGCTACGACCAGCAAGCAGAACGGTGGCAACGTGGAATGTCGAGGAGGCGTCTGACGATGAGCATTCTGGTGTGGATTCTGTACTTCACAGGGCTTCCGCATGGGGGGGAATCATGTTGTCGCTGGTATTTGCAAACATCGCAAACAGCTGCTGGTGCGCCCAAGGCCCGAAAGACCCTCCCCCGTGCGACGTTTCGTGCCGGAAATGTTCGAGTTCATTGGCTGAGAGAGGTCTACCTAGACCACGTTGCTGTGTGATGTGTGTTTGGAGTCCCAACCCAAGAGCAGAACCGCAGCATGAGGATGTGTAGACGGTGTCCTGTCAGACAGCGGCTTCCTGTTGAGGTGCAGGTTCTCAGTTCTTGTCACATTCGCAGCAGTTGTGTTTCTCTGGGTTCGGTCCTGATGGAGGGTCGTCCCAAGACATAGTCTGAGGTTTCTTGGAGGAGCTTTTCGGGTTCATTATGAGGCAGCAATGTGAAAGAACACTTGAGCTCCACTCGCGATTGCTACAGCATGGTCAAAACTAGCATGAACACCCGGCACCGGGGTACCGTTACGCATCTGCATGATCGTGACACTGCTTCAGCCACGCCCGTCACCAAGACTAGGACCTCGACGACTGCAAGACCCCTTCCTGCAATCTGTTGAGCTCCGGAAAGCCGCAACCCTGCCAGACCAGGCCTTCAATGCCCTACAGGCCTTCCATAGCCATTCTCGTTCCAGTCACTGTAAATATTACATTGCTACTACATTGCTTGAAAATTTTGGTTTAAATTGCAGTTATATATCTCTCGGAGCGAGTGCATTTCGTAAAAGCTGTTCAATCTTGGCTGTCGAGGCTGGCGAATCGGCGAAAGTCTCGTCTACCTGGGCGAAGCAAGGGAATCGGAAGACGGTCATAGGCCGGGTAGTATAGGAGGGATCTCTAGTAGGGTTCTATAGTAGGGGCGCCTTAATAATTATGAAAAGCGTTTTGAGGCCCACTATACTATAATTATACTTAATAAGGAACCCTCAAATTTAGTACTGGTAATTATTTAGGCCCCTATAGTAACGTAGCATGTTGGAGTTTCCGGAAATAGGGGATCCTAATATATCCTAAGTAGCAAGATCCTTATTATAAGGACTCCAAAATAAGGCCCCCCAAGTTTTCGGAAACTCCCATGTGGCAACACGGCAGTTCGGAACCCGGGCCTCGCATCCCAACCCGGAATCCAAAACCGACCGTCTTCCAAAACCGGCCTACTGGAGGCTCGCAGCGGGCATGAGCTGTGTCGACGCTCGGCGGCAAGAGTGAGGGGTGTGGAGTTTATTTCGCTTCTAAACCCCCTCTCTAAGCCTTGATCTCGGCCGAAGAGGAGCTCAGAACATAAAGAAGAGGTCACTTGCGTTCATAAAGGATTAGAAGACCTGAAGCTCCCGACTTCGAAAACCCATGCCCTCAAGACCCTGTCTCTGTACTTAAAAGGAGCCCCTAAGCTACGTAAATAAAGCCAACCTCTAGACTGAAAACCCTTCTAGACCCCCCTGCAACCCCACATGTAAACCCCAAATATGATTCCCCTTATACAAACTCATCGAAAGATCCCCTTCTAATAAGATCCCCTTTGTATACGATCCCCCAAAAGCTCCCGAAAGATGGAGATGTCCAAGAGGTCGCCGGTCCCACGGGCCCCAAGGACGGCGGGGCGCCGGAGCCTTTGAGTCAGAGCTTTTGGTGGCTTTCGGAGTTCCGAGGCTTTAGCTTACAGGGCTGTTGCTGATGCATACTTGGAGGTTCATGGCTAGTTATAAGTGGGGTTATAAGTACCCATGAACCTCCAAGTAGTTGGGGCTCGGACGTTTCGGGGTGTCGGGTGTGGATGTTTGCGGGCTGAGGGTTTGGGTGATGTTCTAGCATCTGAGTTTCTGCTGGGAGGCTTTGCAGGCTTGCATGTTGTTTGGGGTTTCTTACCGTTCTGTACTGGCATGGGAGTTTAGAGATTCACGGGCTCAGAGCTTAAGGATACTTGCAGTCCAATACTGCTTCAGCTTCAACAGTTGTTCTCTTGCGCTCAGGCTTGGGGTGTGTTCGGCACTGGGAGAGCCAGTGTGAAACTTTTCGTCCATCTGATTCTGCACTAGTTCTCAGTCTTATGTCATCAGCCCGTTGGGTTGTCGAATGTCAGGGCAGGGTTGGCTTCGTTTTTGCCCCCTGCTCTGTGAAGCGAGACCATGCGAATCCAGGTCCGAAGGAACCAAATCTCCTCAAACTCTGAGCCATATTTATGTTCTGAAAACTGCTCGTAAACCTTGGAAAGGTGGAACCCATCAAATCCCCTAAACACCCCAAATGCTCCAGTCCCTTTCGAAGGGTTTACCTCCAAACTCGCGGGGACGGTTCGAGAGTTTCACTTCCGGAACAAAACCACCTGTGCGGCGAACCTCCAATGTTCCCAACCCTGTGTACTGTCCAGCCGGCAGGACGTTGCAAGAGTTTCACAGGCATGTCACCGGGTTATGTATTGCAGACTTCTGGGTTCAGCGACAAGTTTTCACTGTAGAGGGCTCGAGGAAGCAGACTCCCACAGCACTGTTGCAAGGTCGATTGCAGTGCTTTTTCCTGGCCACAGTGTCGCGATCGTTGTGGTGGGCATCCCAGATGCGGAGGGCCCTTCGAAACGAAACCCCTTCTGTTAGAAAGGTAGGGTTTCATGTTGATAGGCACCTGGAAGGATCCCGGCTTTGCCCGTGTAAAGCCTTTTCGTCTCGCATGTTTCAGAACCTCCGCAGCAGACGCTTGATCGCACATCTCGGCACGCTCCGTCAAAACTGCAAGTCCTGCAAGCGATCCCATGTTCGACCATGTGGCAGTTTCGTCCGTGCAGGCATCTTGCTACTTTCTGATGTCAGGCTCGCGTTGCAGTACAGGTAACTGCGTCATGATAGATGTAGTCAGCGCCATAGTGCCATAGTGCTTCTAATGCAGCACTGAAAGCCCAAAACCGGGAAGAGTACCTACAACCTGAACTCCCTCAATCCGTAGGCCGAGCACTGGGCTTTCTCTATTGTTATAGAAAGGATACTGCAGTACATCGTTATAAGAAGAACAATGGGGCGATTCCTCAATGCTGGACTAGACCCATGCAACACTTCAAGCCCTAAACCCTTCAAGCCCAAACCTAGCCTTGTAAGCCCTAAACCCGTTGAACCCTTAAGCCCTAAGCTCCGAAGACACCATAAACTCCATGAGCCTCACAGCCCCAAGCCCGAAAGGACCCTGCTACCACCCTGTCAGCACCCCAGCAGTACCCGCCTTACAGTACCCTTGTAGCACCCTTACAACACCTTGACACAACCAACCTAAACCCTAAACCCTAAACCCTAAGCCTGTTAAAGCACGGAGGCCTTAAACACCCGAAGACGCCGCCCCAGAGGCCTCAGAGGAGTTGGCGAGTCCCGGCGAAGTGCGGGCCTGCCCGGCCCTTGTTCAATTTTTGGTTTTCTGGTTTCGGGCTTTTGCGTTTAGTTAGGAGTTAGGCCTTTTAAGGTTGGGGGTTTAGGCGGGGCTTGTGGTTTGGTTTAGGACTTGGGTTCGGGCTTAATGGTGAGCTGTCATGGTGGGTGCCCAGCGTCCAGTCCAAACTCCACCCGGTTGCTTCAAGCTCCTCGAACTCGCCCATCGGAGCAGCTCCCGGAAGATCTGATGCGCGAAGCTGGTTTTTGTATTGGGGCTTTGGGGCAGGGTTTATGGCACGTATAAGGTTTGGGGATCTCCAGGGTTTGGTCTCACCCAGGTCCGGCTGTTTGTGCCATGGAGATCTGCGAGACCATCCGGGCCCGTCCGGAGAAGGTTGGCTCCATCGTCGGAGTTTGGGGTATGCAACACTTGGTTTTCTGGTCTGAGATGTAAACGGTGACAACAGAGTACAGCTTACGGTATAGTGCTTCGGGTCCTTTCTAGCAGGAAGTTGCATCTTGAGCCCTACCTGCCCACCCATGAACCGCATAGCCATCAGGGTTCGAGTAGTCTCGATGACTTCTGACCGCGATTGGACAAAGGCGCTGATCCATGAAGAACTAGCCATAAAAAACCCACCAAGCACTTCAGAAATAACCGCCGTAAAGCTTACAGTAAGTGCCCATGGATCTGTAGGATACGAAGCCCTAGACGCCTAAGCCTGCCTTCGTGCAAAGACCTCCTCAACCATTGATCCTAAGCCCTAAGCAAGCAAACAGTTGCACTTTAGCGCAGTACCAAAGAAACCGAATTCGGGGGTGCAGCTGGCATGGGGGGGATTCTTGAATATCGGAGTACTTCATTTATAGGGGAGGGGTCTTTAGAATGAGGGCCCTGATCAGGATCCTTCTATCCAAGGTTGATGTCGCTGACGATTACCTTAGATCGGGGTCCTGGTAGTGATTCTTGCAACCACGATTGCCTGCTACGAGCGTGGGGAACCTTGAATCATGCATGCCGCAGGTCATTGTCCACTAGCAAGGATGCGCCGGAAGTCGCACGAGGGGGGCAGGAAGCAAAGACGCCCTGAGAACCCAAGTAGCGACGTGTGCAAAAGGCTCCATGCTGAATCCCGATGATGGCGGGAGTAGCATCAGAAGACCATCGTAGCACTCCACAGGACCAGCCACAGAAGACATGAGGCATTGACTCATGGATTTTAGATTGCAGAGCGTCAGGCTGACTAGGGCGATCCAGACATGGGGCTAGGTCGCCAGCCGTAGGCCGTAAAAGATACCGAGGAAGGCTTGTGTGCGCAGATGGACATGTCATCACAAAGCAAGCTTGTTGGAAACATAAGCACATTTCAGCTTGATCGAAAATGTTGACCCTAAACCATACTAGACCTTGCTTTCCAGCTTCGAAAGGGACACTCGGATGCATTTGCAGTTTTAAGAGTAATATTGAGCTGAGGTCCTGTGGAGAGCTAACCCTGTCCATGTCCTCCAAGGGACATGCTGGCATTTGGGGGTTGTACTTGTAGTCTCTGAGTGAGCGCCCAAAGGGCACCAGCTTGAGACTTTGGGATGCAACATCAGCGCACTTAATACTTAGAATAGGGTTTTGTGGCCCATTAAACTATTTTCATAATAAATAACCCCAAAATAGTATTGGTAATTATTTCGGGTTAAGCGATGTTTGTTGAGATAGGAAACCGAAGGGATTGTCAAGCAGGTTTATGACTCGACAAGGCGAATGCCTCGGCGAGTGCTGTGTTTGGAGGGCGTCCTCAGCGCCAGAACGCGGGACAAGAAAGGCAAAGTCCGGCATTCCGGGTGAAGTTGCTTTTCTAGATTCCGGTAAGGTCACAAGCTTCAACACAACACTTGCTTCAAACAAGCTCCGGGTCGAACTTGCATGCATGCCTCGAGCCCCGAGGCATCAATGCCCAGTTCAGAAGGGTGGTGAGCCGTAACTCTGTGAGTCACTGGCACGGCCTTGTGGTGGCACTACACTCTAGCCTGGGAATGTGGCATGAACCCTTATCAGCATGCGCGCCATTCGCTCCTTGACTAGCGTTGGAAGTACAGCATCTTAGGCCCAAAGTAGTTGCTAGAGATTTTCATGCTCCCGCTGTCAAGGTGAGTCTTGCACTGAGAAAGTGTATGCTTGCCCGTGCCGCAGCCGCTTCAAAGAGCTCTCACGCCACCTTCGCATCGAGACACTTCCTACTGCTATCATGGCTCCGATGAAGGCAATGAAGGCGATGAAGGCACATTGGGTTGTGATCACCTCGCACTTCATTCGGCTTTTGCAGATTAACATTTCGAGAAGATGGTGTGTATTACTCGACAGCTCCTCACGGGACAGTAACTAAGTAGTCGGTGGTCCCATAGACTAAGCAGGCCATGCGCATGGCGTAATCGGGGGACTTGGGGCGGGCGCATGTTTGAGCGGCACTTGCCCGGGAGGGTCAACCTGCGTAAACTTAGACAGATATTCACAACCGAACTTTCTGTCTTTTGTGTTGAAACGAACTGTACGAATGCCAGTCTGGGGAAGTTTCGGGTTCCATCTAAGTGCTGTAAACCGCTAGGTACTGATTGCACTCTGCCAGGCCATGAAGGCTATGAAAGCCATGAAGGCGAGGCTTCTCTTACCTTTGGTTAGAAGGGAATGGAAGAATGGTAGTAATAGTAGTTATAATTGTACCCCATTCCTCCATTCCCTACTAACCGAAGGTAAGTTCTTGGCTCTAGCTCCGACCTCGCCGGCTTGGGATTTCGTGCTAAAGGCCCGAAGGCGGAGCACCGTGAGGACGTAAACCAGAACGGGGGCGGAAAGACACAGACACATAGCATAGTATGTCTAATACATAACAGATACGATGTAAACATATAGCATCTGCGGTATAAGCCTTAGTTAGGAATCATCCATCCACGGCGAAGGCAGATCAGCATGTTCCACCTAAGCTCAAACTTCGTTGAATGAAGTGATCTGTCTTCGGCGAGACAAGAACGCAGCTTGTTCATTCTTTGGCAGCTATCTAGCAGAACTAAGTGGTCTTGCACCGCGTCAGCGCAGATGCGGCAACCTGGATGCCTCTTGTCAGGCCATGAAGTCGATCAAGGCCATGAAGGCAGGTGACCGGGTGCGTTTGTTCTGGTTTCGGAAGACCTGCGAGCCTCTCGCATGGCCCTGACAACTATGGCAAGGCTGCATTGTGTCCGAAAGGGTTCCGTTGATCGCCGCTTCTGAAGGCAATGAAGAAGGCAGATGCCGAAGAGGCTCCCGCCATGAAGGCGATGAAGGCGCCCACAAGCCCCGCAAACCTACGGTGAGTCTGCATGTGCTGCCACGACGCAGCAACGAAGCCTGACCTTATGCCAACTAGTTTGACTTGATCGATGTCAGGACATGAACGGCACTCACGAGCTCTCCCCCACAGAAACTTTCGAGAGCTGCCTAGGATTGCGGTTTTAGTAGGTAAGACGCTGAGCTTTTCAGACACATCTTGCAACCATGTGCGGATGGGAGGCCATGAAAGCGATGAAGGCCTCCTGATTGTGCGCACACGAACTTTTCACATGCAGTCAAACTCCCAGCTGGGGCAGCGCGGTCTCGATTGCAGAGTGTCCTGTGAGCCACGCCCCTTCGAGAGCCTTGAAGGAAGAGCTTGGGTTCTGCTTTGAATCGTGAGCGCTCGCGTCTAGTCGCAGGCTATGAAAGCCATGAAGGCAATGAAGGCATGTCGGGGACGCTTTCTCATCAGAGCCCACTAATACGTCGTGCTGATTGCTGCATGCTGTGCAATGCTAGCCACCGGCGTGGTTCGGGGATGTTGGGTGATGACACTTGGATTTGTTGATAGCCGAGCTGCCAAACAGAGTAGTAAACAAATGGGTAAATGTTTTAGGACGAGCTTTTGCCCAGGCGATGAAAGCGATGAAGTGAGCAGTTAATCGTGGCCCCCTACCGTTTGAAAGCTTGCTACCAGGTCCATAGGGCTTGGCTCCAGACTGCACGCGGGCCCTTGTACAGAAAAGCTCTGCTTGTGGGCTGTGGGTACATGGCTGTAGAGGCATGGACGGGTCTAGATATCTGAGCAATGCAGTTACTGCAAGATATGTTGAAACCCAACAAACCATACTGGAAAGCCTGAACGCTTTGCGCCTTGACTTAGAAAGTTGGTCTTGGCAAAAAAACTGGACATCCCGCTTTAACGTGAGTAGCAAGCAAATGCAATGTCAACAGTGACTTGGGGCCACACGCAAGGAGCGGTCACAGACTTGGCGAGTTCACAAGATTGCTACGAGCACATGTAGGGAGGATTCGATAGGTTCACTCGAGAACTTCGAATGTATACGTGTATGAGTATCATTCTGATCATTATCGTTATTGCTGTCGGGTAGCCTCCTTGCACAGACACGTACCTTTTTTGGTCTTTTGGAATGTGTGATCCTAGGTTTGGGGCCTGAGTGCACTTGGCCTGCTGTCTCCTTGTGTTTCGTTTTGGATTGGAGGCAGGCTTCAGACGAGGCGCAGCTGTGTGAAGCTATGGCAAAGCTTGCAGCATCTAGAATCTAGAACATCGCAAATCTTCTGCATAACCCCCAACAGCGTCTACTAGTAGGGGTTCAGAGAACTTTGCTGCCATGGCGGATGAAGTTGCGACTGCATTGGAGCAAGTCAAGATGATGTCAACTACTTTGGAGGCGGCGGGCTCATTGACTGAAGGTCTGGGGACGCCATGCCGCAGTTTGGTTGAATCAATGTCTGTTTGAGATCTCGTGAAACTCATTGTCCCGCAGACATCGGAAAATTCAGTGTTTTGTGCCTGCGACATGCACGACAACACAGCATCAAATATGCAGTACGCGCATACTACTGCTACTACTACTGCTACTACTACTACTACTACTACTACTACTACCACTACCACTACCACTACTACCACTACTACCACTACTACTACACTACTACTACTACTACTACTACACACTACTACTACTACTACTACTACTACTACTACTACTACTACTACTACTACTACTACTACTACTACTACTACTACTACTACTACTACTACTACTACTACTACTACTACTACTACTACTACTACTACTACTACTACTACTACTACTACTACTACTACTACTACTACACTACTACTACTACTACTACTACTACTACTACTACTACTACTGCTACTACCTACTACTACTACTACTGCTACTACTAACTACTACTACTACTGCTACTACTACTACTACTACTACTACTACTACTCCTACTCCTACTCCTACTCCTACTACTACTACTACTACTACTGCTACTACTACTACTACTACGACTACTACTACTACTACTACTACTACTACTACTACTACTACTACTACTACTACCCCTACTACGACTACTGCTGCTCGATGACCACAACGACCACGACGACCACGACCAGTGCTACTGCTACTGCTAGTAGTACTACTTCCAGTACTAGTGTTGCTACTACTACTACTACTACTACTGCTACTACTACTACTACTACCACTTCTTCTACTACTACTACTACTACTACAGCTATACCTATTGCTACATTGCTACACTGCTACCCTGCTACTGCGGTTTCCGTGCTTCAGGGCTTCGAGCTGCATGCACAGTCCTCCATTTAGCTTAGCATTAAGGATTTGGGGTTGTGTGTCTACCACACGTAAACCTTGTACGAAACCACTGGGAGTCGCAAGTGAATCCCAAGACACGTCACAGCAAGAGTCACACAAGCCCGGGTGGCCTGCTTTGGAAGTATCGGTTGAAAGGGCTCGCCTGTCTCAAACTGAGAGCCTGGAACAGGAAGGGGCATCACGACGACTGGTGGGCTTGCCACTCGGACCAGCTTGAGGTGTGGTTCAGAGGGCTCAGCCTCTAGGGATTTACACATTGGATGCGCGGCTGGAGCGGAGTGCTAGTTCAAGAGTTCCTGCGGCTGAGCTTTAGATTTAGATCGTGTTGCCTTGCCGGTTTGCTTCCAATGCTTCGGTGGTTCAGTGGGGAGACTCTCAAAGTGCTTGCATCCCATTCCTTGAGGGAACCGAGGGCAGAATGTGACTTCGCTTTCAGGTACAAGTACAGTCGAAACACTGCTTCGTTTCGCAGTCAGCTTCGGTATAGCCGAGTTTCAGATGCGTCCTCTGTGATTCAACTACAGCAGTGCCGGGTCCAACTGCAAGCCCCAGCTTTTCACCCTAAGGCTGCAGTCTCTGGGAAATCTGGATCAACAGTCTTTGGTCCGATTCCTGGACATGGCGGAGGCCTTCAAGAAACCTGACATAACGGAGCCGCCGGATCCTTCCTGCACTTTCGCCTCGGTCCTTGTTATCGGCAACGCTGGACTGGCCGAGGAGGCAGAGGACGACGAGATGAGGCGGGCACAAGAAGCTTGCCTACTGGAGGCCCGGAGATGCAACCGCTGAAAAATCAGCCTTGCTGCGGTGATGGTAATCACAGTGAAGACGGTGACTCCGACGATGATGAGATTCGCACTGATGCTGAGAGGCGATGAGGCTGCCGATGCTGATGATGGCAACCTTATCTACACTCCTTGTCCGAGAGGTTCATACCGGATTTGTAGGTAGTCAGCATGCTACTTGTGCTGGTTACGATGACGATGTTCTCGACGATTATGTCTTTAGCTCTTATCTTTCAACAGACAGTATCCCGGTCGCTGATTCTACGACTGACCCTTGGCGACAACGACAACGACAACCACCACCAACACCACGACCACGACCACAACGACAACCACAACAATAGGAAAAACAACAACTACTAGTACTACTACTACTACTACTACTACTATTGCTACTACTACTACTGCTCCTACTCCTACTCCTACTCCTACTCCTACTACTACTACTACTACTACCACTACTACTACTACTACAGTACTACTACTACTACTACTACTACTACTACTACTACTACTACTACTACTACTACTACTACTACTACTACTGCTACTACCATTATTATTCTTATTCTACTACAAATCATAATGCTACTACTGCGAGCTTCTGGTGGACGCCTGCAAATCCACCGTGAAATCCTAGAGTCTCTAGAGGTCGTCTCAATCAGTATGAGCCCCCTGGTCTTTTACTGCTCCTACTCCTTTGCTGCTGCCACTGCCACTGCTACTGCTGCTCCCTTCATCTCCCTTCCCCCTATCATTAGACTGCCCCCTATCATCAAAGATTAGTTTCGCATTTGGCCCGGAATGCGGTCTGAAGACAACATCACAATCAGAGCCTGGTAGGGAGAGGCTGCGATTGCCTAGTGGTAGAGGGTTGGAGACATGTGACTAATTACTTGGCCTGTATGGAAGCTCCCGCTCGTTCTTCTCTTTCACTCTGAGTTTAAAGGTTACGTTTAGGGATTATCCAAGCGCCCGAAACCTCACGATTGCAAGAGCGAGTCTGCACCAGAACGTGTGAGTTGAGTTCCTTGCCCCCTCAAAATTTAGGGCAGTAATTCTTTTTGGATTGCACGAACTGCAGCCAGCAGGGGCCGCAGGAACCCAGGATGCAGCAAGGGCAGATTGCAAGTAGTAGCACCCCCAGCCCTCTTAATATGAAGGTGATATTTAGTATTTGGTGCGAGGTTTATCTTAGGGGAAGGGAGTATTACTACTGCTGCTTCTGCGCCTGCCTCGGTTCTGGCTATTGCTGCCAGGAGTGCTGCTGCTTTTGCTACAACTTCTTGCTGTTGCTTTGGCTTGTCTAAGTGGCCGTACTACATGAGCTGCACGTAACTATCTTGGCATCAGTTTGGGTCCCTGCTGGTCCCTACCACCTTGCGTGTATCAGCGTCATTTGCCTTATGGAAGTATTGTTCTGCAGGCTGAGATGATTCACGAAGCAGCCATCCGTGCCGACTCGCGCTGTTGGACCGTGCTGAAGAAAAACCCAACACGCGACGAGTTTCTATTTGCGGTTGACGAATTCATCCGCCACATGAGCCAGCATGGGTCAGAGGGATCGACGCACCTCTTCTACTACACAGGGGATGGTTGCGAAATACAAGGTTTCCACTTCATTCCCGTCGATGCCACTCGGCCGGACCGGGATTACATTGCACTCGGAGAGATTATGGTGATGATCGACAAGAAAATCCGGGGACGCAATGTTTTGTTTTGCATCGACTCCTGCCGCAACAATCCCAACCATGAGACGGTCAGAGCCAAGTTCGACAATGAGCGCGGAATCGACAACCGCTACTGCTTACTCTTCCGCACAGCTGTTGGGAATGAAATCAATCAACTCGCAGGGGAATACTTGTCTGTATTTGCCCGGACAGTGGAGCTCCACATACGCCAGCTGGCATGTAGCCAGACTCCCGTGATTCCGGATTGGGTTGAGCAGATCGTACAAGCGATCAAGCAAGAAGATGAGCGAGAAGATCCTTGGGTTTCCTTCAGCCGGCCGGTAGGCGGCTCTTTTCGGACCATCCGCAGTTCGTCGGCTAGTAGCATCTCCTCCCGATCGCCGCTACTCGGAAGTACGAACACACGGGGCTATAGCATCTTCTCCGAGAAGCACAGCCCAGCTGTCAGCCCTCTGGACCCTCAGGACCCTGACCAGTTTTACGAGGTGGGTGGTTGTCAAAATTAGGATCCCTTTTTGGGTACCCTAAATACTACGTGCCGTACTATATTAGGGACCCCAAAAGGGACCATAATTTTGACAACCACCCAGGTCACAGACATCCGAAAGGCGCACCGCCGGAGAGTCAACCGCATGACTGCCCCAACAGTAGGGATCGCCTGTGGCTCGTCTTGATATGGGGGTACTTTGGGTTCCTTTAAAGGGGTACCATAAGGGTACTATAAGGGTTCCTTTAAAGGGGCTGGTTTAGGGTGTTTCCGAAAACAGAAACAAGGATCCTACTATATTAGGATGCTAGATTAGGGTCTCCTCTGTTCGGAAACTCCCACATGGTTCAAGCTGTGTTCTCTGTGTTTTGGTTGGGAAAGCATGCCTCAGCCTAAGAGCACCTCAGTCCGCACAAGACTTCAGCTTATGCCCTCATGTCTGCCTGCGAGGTATCATCTTGGGGAGCTCCGAAGGCAGATCAGCAGCAGAGGTGAAGAAAGACTTCGCAGTCCGCGGCATGGGCCCAAATTATTTCATCTCTGTTGATGGAAATCGGACAGTTCTGGTCAGGGAAGAGCTCTGTGCCTGGGACTACAACCTTGCATATTGGCGTGCGGAAGAAGTTAAAGAAGCTGGGCGGATACCAGGTACCGGCGACATCAATGAAGTTAAGTCCTACGCAGTGTCCATTGCTTTGGAGGGCGACGGCGAAGAGCCGTATCGTGAAGAACAGTACACCGCCCTCATCTCGCTGATGAAGCGTCTCATTGCAGCGTACGAGGCGCGCAGGGTTCTCTCGCGCGCGAATCAGCTGACTCATGAAGTTAATAACATGTACCCGTGGTGAGACACCCTTCCCTCAAGCGGAGATTTTCGCCCTTTGGATAGCTTTTGAAGCCCCTTCTTTGAACCCGAAATTCCCAAAAAGTGCGAGGTGAAGCTTTGGAACATCGTCGGTGCTGGGGAAATCATGCAGCCTCCTCCGAAAGCCCCCCAGCCTGGCCGACAATTCGAGCAGCTTTGGCCAAAAAGAGCCCGATAGAACCGCTGTATACCAAGCTCCAAATGCCTCATCCCGATATGATAAAACCCAAGCTTCCAATGCATCCCGGCACCCTCAACATAGAACGGTTGGGTTGATTGGACGAGCCGTGTACACCTCTGAAATAGCAGCCTAGAGGGCTACAAGACCAAGATCTGACGTCTCTCTCCAGACACATCCTAGTGAGTTTTGTGGAAACCTCAAGTCACCCCACCTTTTGAAAAAGCCTGCCTGAGGTGGGCCCGCCTTGAAACTGCAGGTTGTGCCTTGGCTGCCCAGCCCAGAACGCAGGAGCCGACTTCTTCTCATCGATTTCGGTTCACGTTGAGGCCTTAAGATGTTGGGTTGGGGAGTTGCGGTTTACTAGTAAAGTATGGTTGTGATTGTTGTCATTACTTCTGGTGTAAACATAAGCAATCGATGAGGAGAACAATGAGCTGCTCCATTATGATGCACCGTGCTCACTATGATTTGGATGACTTTTACTCGTGTTCTCCACCTTTGTCTAATTTGGATTGCTACGTTGGCTAGTTTGAGCAACTGTGTTGTGACATGATACATGGTGTTCCTGCATTAGGAGTAAAGACTTTTTGCTCGGCGCGTCAGGTTTGGCACATGGGGTGGGCTCATACACGTGCCAAAGCTTGTCAACGCCACGCCTCGAAGAGCAAGCAAAGATGCCTCTATACATGCCGACCTCGACTGTCGAATGGGTTAGCGAAGAGCAGGAGCAAGACATCTCCAAGCTCAAGGACTTGCTGCAAGAGTGGGGTTATGTCGCTTGGTCTCATTTTTCCCGAAAGCATCGCGAAGGGTTCTTCCGGGCGGAGCCGGGTGGATGAGTACATAGATGACAGACATAGAATCAACTTACTTGACTCCATACTTTACTTCACTCTACACTTGATACTTGACTCTACACTTGATACTTACTTACTTACTTGACCTCTATGACTGACTCTCTACACTTGACACTTGACTCTATGATACTTGACTCTACACTTGATACTTGACTCTATGTTATGCTTACGACTTACTTACTTACTTACTTACTTCACTCTACTTACTTACTTCACTCTACTTACTTACTTACTTGACACTTGACACTGGACTCTATGTTATGCTATCTCTATACTTACTTATACTTACTTACTTACTTACTTACTTACTTACTTACTTGACTCTATGCCTCTATGACTTACTCTCTACATCTCGGTATCTAATTCTCTCTTCTAAAGCCAGGGGTGGCACCGTTGTCGTCCATCGGGAATGCAACCCTTCCCCGGGATTCGCCTCCTCGGGCGTTCAAACGCGAGGTAAAGTTACACATTTTAGGGTTCCCGCGCAACCCTTCCCAGGGATTCGTTGCCTCGGGCGTTCAAACGCGAGGTAAAGTTACACATTTTGCGGTGCCCGCGCAACCCTTCACAGGGATTGGAACTCTCGGGCGTTCAAACGCGAGGTAAAGTTACACATTTTGCGGTGCGCTTCGCACCCTTCACAGGGATTCGCTTCCTCGGGCGTTCAAACGCGAGGTAAAGTTACACATTTTGCGGTGCCCGCGCAACCCTTCACAGGGATTGGATCTCTCGGGCGTTCAAAGGCGAGGTAAAGTTACACATTTTGCGGTGAGCTTCGCACCCTTCACAGGGATTCGCCTCCTCGGGCGTTCAAACGCGAGGTAAAGTTACACATTTTAGGCGCCCGGCGTAACCCTTCCCAGGGATTCGCTTCCTCGGGCGTTCAAACGCGAGGTAAAGTTACACATTTTAGGCGCGCCGCGCAACCCTTCACAGGGATTCGCCTCCTCGGGTGTTCAAACGCGAAGTAAAGTTACACATTTTGCGGGTGCCGCGCAACCCTTCACAGGGTTTGGGCGCAGCTCAACTGCATTTTGCAACCCTTCACAGGGATTGGAATTTTGCAACCCTTCACAGGGATTGGCATGGTCGAATGCACGAACGCTAGGTAAAGTTGCATTTTTTGATGTGCATTGAAATGAATTTTGCAACCCTTCACAGGGATTGGCGTGGTTGAGCGTTCGAACGCGAGGCAAAGTTGCATTTTTTGATGTGCATTGAGATGAATTTTGCAACCCTTCACAGGGATTGGCGTGGTCGAGTGTTCGAACGCGAGGTAAAGTTGCAATTTTTGATGAGCATTGAGATGAATTTTGCAACCCTTCACGCAGATTGGCGTTGTCGAGTGTTCGAACGCGAGGTGAAGTTACACATTTTGCGGTGCCTGCGGAACTATTCACAGGGAATCAATCGCTGAAACGCTAGGTAAAGTGCACATTTTAGGTGCCCCGCGCAATCCATGAGAGGGATTTGCCTCTTCGCGTGTTCTAATGGGTAGGTGTGCAACAGGTCAATTGGCAACCCCTCAGAGGGATTGGCAAATGCATATATGGATATTGGCATATGGATATTGGCAAATGCATATATGGATAATATATAATATACAATACATATATATATATATATATAGATATATATATATATGTATAGATAGATAGACATATAACATATATTCATGCGCTTGCACGGCGCTCACGCTGTCTTGCGACGGCGCACCGCGCCGCTGCCTGGCCGACGACTTCTGCAGGCTCGGAAGCGAGATTTTTTGCATGTGCCACATACTCCATTATCGTGACAGCATCTGCGCCTGTCATTGCACGTGTTTGACCGGCAGGCTCTGCTCGTGAGGGGCTGCATGTTGCAACATCTTCCTATACTGGTGTCTGTTGTTTGCCTGCCTCGTTTGGCTCCAAAAGGGAGACGAAAGGGAAAACGCGCTGCTTGGCCGACGACTTCTGCAGGCCCGGAAGCGAGATTTTTTGCGTGTACCACATACTCCATTATTGTGACAGCATCTGCGCCTGTCATTGCACGTGTTTGACCGGCAGGCTCTGCTCGTGAGGGGCTGCATGTTGCAACATCTTCCTATACTGGTGTCTGTTGTTTGCCTGCCTCGTTTGGCTCGAAATGGAGACGAAAGGGAAAACGCGTTGCAGCATTTTGCACACATTGCAGCATCCTACTACACCTAGTACGTTTCCTTGCCTGCCTCGACGCTGTCTTGCGAAAGGGCCGGTGTGGAGATTTTTCTCATCTTATCAGCTGACCATACTTAGGATAGCTGTTTGCCCGCCTCGACGCTATCTTGCGAAAGGGTCGGTGTGGACACTTTTTCATCTGAACATACTTAGGACAGCGCTTTGCTTGCCTCGACGCTGTCTTGCGAAAGGGCTCATCCCATGGCTTTGCTGCTGCGGAAGTTGCGCGCGGGTTATGCCAAGGAGGGCGAAGCCTGGCTCCGCGAGGAGCTGCGGAAGCAAAGCCGGGATGAGCTGCGTGGGGCTTGTCTCGCTGCGGGTGTGCAGCAGAAGTCAGCCGGCCGCACGCTTTCCAAAGCGGATCTGTCGGAAGCTCTATCACAGTGCATTGTCGGGGAGCAGGCTTCATGGGGAATCGGCGTTCTTGATGATTGTCCATGTCAGCTTCTGTTGCAGCGAGGCGTTAGTGGCGTCGCCAGGTGGGATGTTTTGTGCTTTGAAGTGGAGCAGTTCTTGCTGTCAGGTCGATGAACCGTCGCCGCAGCAAAAGCTGCAGGAGCTGCGCGCGGGTCATGCCGAGCAGGGCGCAGCCTGGCTCTGTGGCGAGTTGGAGAAGCACAGCAAGGATGAGCTGGTTGGGCTCTGCGTCGCTGCGGATCTGCAACGACACTCAGCCGGCCGCACGCTTTCCAAAGCGGATCTGTCGGAAGCTCTATCACAGTGCATTGTCGGGGAGCAGGCTTCTGGCGGGTTTCCTAGTGAAGTAAGGTGTTTCACTTCGGAACGGTGTCTTTCCAAATCCCTAATGGCTGCACTGCCTTCCGCTGCTGGACTCTCGGTGCCACGAGTCGCGCAGCAGCTCAGCGAGGTGGACCCGTTTGTGGTATAGGATAGATCTTAAATCCCCAATCATCCTTTGAGAGACCTGTGTTGTGACTGCCGCTTGGGAATGTTTGCCAGATGCCGCCGGGTTTCTTCTTCTGAGATAGTATACCTTGGGTTGATACACAAGGTGTCACCGAAGCCTGGGGCTCTCGATGAATGTCTGCAGCTACAACCAATCTTTCTAGAAGAGGCTCTGGACCACCGTGATCCCTGCATTAGTCCTACTAGGCCCTCGTGGATTATCCGGTGTGGATAGACACGAAATAAGGACCCATAAGCCTGTGGCGTTCCCCTGGAGTCTGTTGGATCGGCTAAGAAACATACGCTGGCCTGTTGTCATTTGACCCTCATTCCCTACTCCTTTCAGAGACCACTGTTGCGACTTCCGTTTGGGGATGTTTGTCGGTTGCCGCTATGTTTCTTCTCCCATGATACTATACCCTGGGTTGGTATAATGCGTGCTATGGAGGCTCGGGGATCCCGATGAACCTTTGCAACTACAATCAGCCGTTTTCACGAGGCTCCGGACCACCGTAATCCCTGGGATGACCTCTCCCGGCACCTCCTCAGGCCGCCTCTTCAGTGCTGGTGTCCCACTTCGCGCAGGCCGAGAGGAAGGAAAATGAATTGGCCCTCAGCCAGGTTGCACATCGCCTTCCGGATTGTCGCTTTGCAGAAGGTACTGTGCAACCGTAATCCCTGGGATGACCTCTCTCGGCACCTCCTCAGGCCGCCTCTTCAGTGCTGGTGTCCCACTTCGTGCAGGCCGAGAGGAAGGAAAATGAATTGGCCCTCAGCCAGGTTGCACATAGCCTTCCGGATTGTCGCTTTGCAGAAGGTACTGTGCAACCGCTGGTTTGGGCCGTGGCTTGCTTGCTTCGACGCTGTCTTGCGAAAGAGCGAGCAAGCAACGTGACTTTATCTCACTATGACTCTATGACGTTATCTCACTGTAACTCTATGACTTTATGACTCACGACCCATGGACTCTATGACTCTTGACTGTATCGGCATTTCGAGGTCCGGGTCAGGCTATGAGCCCTTACGCTATGCGTATCTCGATTAAGCGTTCCCACACATAGAGCATAGAGTGAACTACATCGAGTCAAGTGCATGGTACATAGATGACTCCATGACTCCGTGACTCTATCCCACTACGACTCTATGACGCTATCTCACTGCAACTCTATGACTTTATGACTCATGACTCATGGACTCTATGACTCTTGACTCTGTGACTTTACGACTCTTGACTCTGTGACTTTACGATCCTATACAGTGACTCTATCTCACTACGACACTATGACGCTATCTCACTGCAACTCTATGACTTTATGACTCATGACTC